GTTGCGTTTGTATTGTTCATATATTCAGTTTGGTTATAAAATTATTGAAATCAAAAACCAAATGATCTTGAATTTAAATTTGAAAGTTGACATATCTAATATGCATCGAGATTCATACTTTGTTATGTAGAGTTTTTGGCGACATAGCAATTCTTATTTTCTTTAACTTTTGCTCCCTTCTGATTACACATCTTCTCTGTTTGATGATTATATTAATCATATGTTATATGTGATTAATAATACCTGTTAAATCATGTAACGATATTAGGTTGAAACATAATCAATATTACTATAATTAATTCTTATACAAAATGCTTATTAAAGAAAATCTTAAATTCCTAAATAAATCATCCATACTTATGAAAAATAAAATTATTAAATTAATTACGAATTTGGACTTTAAATAAATGTAATATTTCCGAATGACCTAACATGTAAATTACTTTAACCTATACTTAATAAATCCAATTTCATTATATTAAATAACAATATTAATGAATAAGAATTTAATATTTAAACATCACTCCAATATCTTATACAAAATTTAATAATAAATTGTATTTTAATTAATCTCCTCAAAACAATTTCTCGTCATTTTTGTGCTATCAAACACCAAATAAATTTTATGTAAACTATTAAATTAGCACAAAAACATTAATAAAAAATGATTTATTTAGGCATAAAATAATTCTAGGTTTTCCAAATCATAAATCTTTTTCCAACTCGCCCGTTCAATGACTACCTTAGTCCCACGCCTACGCAAGCATTCGAGCCTGACTTGTACTACTCACATGAGTCATTGCGTAGTCTCGTAAGCACGACCGTATGCACCTCGAACTCTTCTCCTCCCCAATTTTTATCACACATTCTCAATCCCTAGTGGCTAGTTACCACATGGCACAAACTTGTGTTTTTTCTCCCATGTCTACCCTAGCTTGCATGAACTCTCCGCTCTCACAAAACTTCGCCCTCTTCATCTTCTTCATCTCGCATTTGTTATTGATGAGTACATACAGGGGCTTCCACTTCACCTCCTTTGCTAGCCACTTCGATTTCTCTCCTATAACGACGAACCAAATAATGACGATTCAATCAAACCAAAATCAATCTATTTAGATTCTCTTTTCTTTACAATTGAATAATTGATAATTTTGTAAAATTAAATAATGAATTATTAATTGCTTTTAAAAATTCAATCCACGAGAATTTTGTCATCAATAAGTCATTTGTTATTATATAAATTAGTATATGCATCAATGACAGAAACAAAACTAACTTGATAAATCAAGCAGCTAATATGAAATAACATGACCAATATTACACACATCTAATATAAGGTTACACAACTAGAACCATATCCAATATTTGATATAAGATAACATGACTAGAACAACACATACATACTGTTAGATAACATGTTTATAATAATATCTATTCTATCAAACTCTATCAACATCATCCTCCAATAGTAATAGATTCTTCAGTCACTTGTTGAGTTAAGCAAAAGACAATAGGCCAAATGTTTTGTCTTGAATGATCATTATCATGGATAATCACCCTATACTCTACCACAATATGTTTGTCATTCTTAGCAATAGATCCATTCTGAAGAATAATCTAATTTAAGTCCATAAATTAGTATTAAGTACAAATATCTGAGCATAATTGGGAAAATTTCTAATATAATTCTCTAATTTTTTATATAAATAACGTGCTTTATAATCAACTAATATTCTCCCCGATGTAGCTTTCCACACTTAATACAGGGCCCTATAATATTACTGCAAGCCTGACTAGTGACTCTAGTAGCAAGAGACTTGAACTTCTTCCAATTAAAAGTTCTAGATCGAATAGTCTGGTTAATTACTTTCATGTTCTTCCTCTTATGCAACGCTATTTGTTTCTGAGTAATTTAAAAATAAAATTTTCATCCTCCCAACCCTCTACACTATAACAAAATACTTACTGATCGCCAAAAGTACTAAGTAGTGTCTAATCCAATCCTTTACTCTATATAAAAATAGTGGCATTTCTCTTCTACAATTGAGACAGATTGCACACCATTATGGTATAATATTTTCATCTTTTGACTGTATGACTGACTTTTCTCTTGCTACAATCCAATAAAATTATTATTCATTTGCTTTCTTACTAAAAAGGGCACAAAACATTCTCATAGCAGTTCCACAAAATCTTTTCAATTTACCATCAAATTTGGTAGTATGAGTCTCCTAACATATCCTAACGCTGCCCTATCCACCATCTTTTAGCTTCAACATCTAATACAAATGTGGCTAACATCATCTCCCTCTCAATAGAGCAAGTAATACGATACAAATTATTCGTAATACACAATAGCTAATTTTAGCTTTAGCTGTTTCTTCAATTCTCTTGAATAATGGAGAACAAAATTTTTGGAAAAACCTCGCGTACTGAACCATTGAAGTGTTACTTCTAGTAGACGACGTCATTGCCACCACAAATTGGTAAAAGGCATTGGTATTCGTGATAACATTAGATGATAAATCTTCTCCGATCATATTTTCATCTTTCATTTCCCCTCATACATTCATAATCCAAATGTATACAAAACATATTTTCTAATTAAAATTGATATGCAATTATAGTCTAAGACTAATATTTCTTATGAAAAATTATGTTTTTCATTAAATATCATTACAACACTTTCGTTGTGAACCAAATTATTTAGTCCAAAATTTAAGTTAATTTAAATTTTGTTATTTAATTTTACCAGAATTATTAATTATTCAATTATTAAAAAAAAAACTGGCCTAACTAATGTCGGTTTAATCAGCGAGAGAAGGGAGATAAATCCCCTACAAAATGTGAGATAAATCAAAAAGGCGAGTGAAAGAGGTGATCTCTATGTGAGGGCAAAGAGGTCATGCAAACCAAAGCAGGCATATGCAAACAAACACAAGACTGTGATCTGTAGCGGCAACAAAGCAAGGGATTGTGCGGGTTAGAGACATAATTATGACAAACCGAACTCTCCACTCATCAAGGTATTGTCTGCTTTGGCCTAGTGATCTCACTATTTTGTTCCGTTGGTGTAAATGCCCAAAAGATCACCCACCACAAAAGTGCTCCAACTCAAGCGGGCTTAACCTAGAAATTTCTATTGAAATTTCACCGTTATACCAAAAAACGCATCGACCTTTAAGAGCTCAGCTTCAATCAACATAAGTATCCCCCACTTAAGTTACACTTGGGTTAAGCCAGTTCACTATATGTCCATGTCAGTTCTCTATATGTTCTTTTCATAAGTAATGCACCACAAATGAGATTTTGCGAGTTTATACGAAAATGGAGAAATTGAGAAATGGAGATAGAGAAATAAGTGGTTATAGAGAGACAGCGGAAAAATAGAAATAGAGAGTGGTTAGAGAGGGAAAATGAGATGTTAGTGAAAGAAAGAGAAAATAAAGTGGTCAGTTAGAGTGAATGGGCAAAGGTAGAGAGAGGAGGGATAGAGTGAGAGTTGGGGATGTTGAAAGATAAAAAAAAAATAGTATGAGAGTGAGAAAGACATGACAGTGTCACAGTTATGGAAGTACAAGGTCTACGGAGTTGTGAGGTCAATGAGATCAATGAGGTTATCACAGGAGTTTAGGAAGGCAGTGGACATTTGGAGATTGGAAGCTGGTTGTTCAAGCAGCAGCAGCTTTGTTGTCAAAATTCATCAAAGTCAGGGTGAGGTTTGGCGACTATTGAACTGGCTTAACCTAAAATAGTAAGCCTCAACAATTCTTCATCACACACTCCCAGTCCTGTCAATGCCTTCACTTGCAAACTACTATTGTGACTTCCTTGCATTATATCGATAAGAGTATCCACATATTTAAACTGAAATTAGAATTATAAAATAAGCTTTAAAAAATGTGAAACCCCTTAAGTAGAATGAAGTTGAACACTTAAACATCGAGGCGCCATTTGGTGTTAACAATTGGAGTTTCAATAAAAACTTCAACTAAGAATGCTCCGGTGAGAGCACTCCTATGATAGGTGATCTCTTCGAAAGTTACACTAATGGGGCAAAACCGTGAGGCTTTGAGGCCAAAGAGGACAATATCACAATGGATGAGACTTCAAGCTATCACAAATAGTATCAAAGCATTACGCTAGAATGAAGATAGGAATATCTATTTGGTGGATGATTCTAGGTTAAAATAACTGACAATTAAGAGCACTGACAAAAACATTAGTTGTTTAAGTGGGGGAGATTGGGAAACACCTCAAGGAGAATGAAGTTAAACTCTTAAATATCAAGGTACATTTTGTTGTGATGGTTGGAGTTTCATGAAAAAAATCTGAAGTTAAGTGTGTTCATGCGGAAACACACCTCGAACGGGTGACCTCCTAGGAATTTATACCAGTGGGATAAGACCGTGAGGCTAATAGGCCTAAGAAGATAATATCTTGTTGCAAGATAGTTCAAGTTGTTACAAAAATGAAACTAAAAATAGGTCATTTATTTGTTTGACATTTTCACATGATATAAAAACAAAAATCTCTATCATAATGTTAATGCGGTCCTTGAATTTGGTCCTTGACAAAATCTGCCTTAATTATGACTTGGCTTAGAATACAAGTGTTTTGATATAGGATTAACACAAATCCCGTTTATGGAAACGGACATTTATTTAACACAAAAAATATATATTAAATTCTTTAAAAATATGAACAAAGATTACATTTTATGTGAATAAGACTGTACTTTTCATTCACATTTAGTTACAGTGATCCTTAATGGCTGCCAACTCTAAATGAACTTTGTTACATAGGAATCATAAAAACAGATTTTCCAAAGTAGCCATATCTAGCTTCTATAATTTCTCGATGTAAGAAGAAGTATACCGGGAAAAATTGTCAGAAAACATACTCATTTAGGAGTCAAATTTAAATCAGCACTATTACTATGGCTTGAACTAAAATCTTTTTCCTCCAAAATTAGAGGTCATGCTGGAAGGCGTGCATACCTTGCTTACTTTCCCTTTTTTCAAATGGTATCGAATTCCAGACCAGTTGATTGTTTGAGAAAAATGTGATCGTATTGAAGAGATAGGATATAAGAAATTGTCCACCAGCATGGCAAGAAATATCTGCTCAGAAGGTATTAGGTTCCAAACTCTTATAAGAAAAGAATCAAAACTAGGGTGAAACACTTAAAAAATAAACTATGCCAACCAAAGCAAAATTTAAATGCAATAGTTGTCATACTTACAAGTCCCCAGTTGTATGACCGCAGAGAGACTCTCGGTCCCTCTGGAGATAACATGTTGCACAATTGGACCTCCACCTTAGTCAAGTTCCACATAGCAAGAAGTTCCACAAGAGTACATACAGCCAGGCAGCCCGCTAGTGACAAACCTAGGGAATAATAATTCAAGTTCTAAGAAGATAAAAACTACTACTTATAAAAACAATCACATCAGTCTACCTTCAAAAACTGTAAATTGGGCCAACAGTTGACAAGAACAATAAAGAGAACAATAGAAAATTAGTAATACGATAAAAAAAAAAATCAAATCCTTTGGCATCCAACTAGGCTAGGAGATAAAAATCATTATGCCTTTGTGCTCAACAATATAAAAATAGCTTTAAAACTGAATGCCAATCATGGATAAGAGTTAAGCAAGCACCACCTAACTCCACTCCAAATAAATGAGTACAATTCGTAGGTATCTTGAAAAGATTGTTACATTTGGTCTACCACTCCATAAATCTGATCACTAGTCTATAATCTATATGCCTTGAGATCAACAAACCAAAGGGCTAGAAGAACAAAAGACCTTTCGCGTCCAATCCCAGAAAGAAGCATCCCATCATCTCAAAAACAGGTATAACAAGCAATTATGCAATTTCAATGCTCATGCTATTATAATGCACAATTAGTAATAAAAATATAAACAAAAATAATATATTTAGCGGAATAATCGACCAATGAGACTGGGAAAACTTGGGCCATTAGTTAGAGACAACAAATTTGGAAACCGCTCACCATACGATGGGGCAACTTCTCTGATAGGATATTTGCTGTATGGTGCTCTTAATGCTGCTCCAATGTGCATCACTGCCATAAAATATGGCACAACAAACGACCATGATAAATAGATATGTGAAGAAAACAGAGCACGATTCATCATCCAGTTAACATCATCAATAAATGATTCTAAAACAAAAGTTTGCTTCCTGAGGTAGTTCCAGTATCTGCAACATTAAAATGACATAATTTGAAATCTGGCCATTGACAAGTAACAGATAATAAAAGCAAAGATGCCACAAATAAAAAATCTTGTTCCTTTGTATGTTTATACCAATTGCTCTGATTAAGTTCAATTATGCTACTGGACGTATCAATTGGCAAATCGATATATAGAAAGTCTTATTTTTCATGCAATTAAAAAAAAAGTAGCAAATCAATACCTTGGGAAGGTAAGATCACTTGCAAGAGGATGAGGAAATACTGCCACGGGCGGTGAAAAAATTAGCTTTTTGTGAGCCCCTATTCAGAAGCGCAAACCATACTTGAGAAATTAATGATATGTATTCAAGGTATAAAACATGGAGTAAATATTCATCTAAACTGATAGTCATCAAAAGAAAGAAAAGAAACAGACTTTGATTGAGTGATTATCAAAATAATGAAAAGGGGTTCAGCTCTTAAATTCATACTCATAGGCCTGAGGATAACAAAAGTGCTCACGATCCTTAATTAGTTAGAAGAATTGATATAAATATGCAGTGAAAATACAACATTGATTCTAGAGGCCCTTTGGCATGTGGACAAGTCCATCTTGGATGTATCACTCGTGCAGTAGAGTATGCCCATACTGACCATTGTTTGGGCGTTAGCAAAGGTAACCACCAGGCCAACTTTGTCAATTCATATTAAGGTTAACTTTATTGACATTAATTAGGATTAAACCTCTGCGGTATCAAGCCAATAAAAGGTTCATTTATTTAATGTTAAAAAACTTATGCATGTTAAGTTTTGGAACCATATAAAACCTTTCAAAAGCTTGGGAACATTCCAAAAGTTCCTAGGTATTTTGAGGAGACAGATAATTATCTCCCAGTAAAAGGTTCATAAAAACCCCAGGAATTGTACCTTGGCATCTACCTCATGAATTGGGAGTTTAGGAATGATTGAATTTTTTATTATTTTATTAGGTATTTTGAGAGTTTTATGGTTTTGAATAAATATTGCTACTTAGGTGGAATTAACCAATGATTTGGATTGAGTTTGTTTAACATTTGAAATAGAATTCAATTTGGCACATATTTTAAGACTTATAATAATAATAATAATAATAATAATAATAATAATGTGATATTATACTTCCAAGTGGTGCAAAAAAGGACCACTTAATCTGTCTCCCTCATAACCCGCAAAATCCAACAAGACACCATAGTCTGGTGAGGCAGGGTATAGGTAGCAATCGAAGTGGGAAAACAGTACTTTTTTTTTTCATGCTACTTTTGCTTTAGAAAAAGAAAAAAAGACATTGTCCTAACGCTAAAAGAATATAGAAATTTTCCTCTAATGTCCAACAAAAATTACACAGAGAGAACATGATAATACAATAGAGAAAGAAAGAAGAGATATTTTAATTTGCCCATTAAAATCATTATTCCTCATTATTTTCCCACCTAATTATCCAAGATGAACCTCACATTCTATATCCTATCAAATAGTTTATCACAAATAATGCCACTCACAATTTATATATAGAGGTTGTTAGGTTTGCTAAAAAAAAATACATAGTAAAAAGTATGAAATGTTAGAGCAATGTATTGCATTTGAAATATTTTAGATTTTTTTAATTTCAGTGTAAAATATATACATGACATTGCATTTCTTATTTAGTTGGACGAAAATGAATTGACTGTAAAATAAAACTTTAAACTCAGCAGCGTCGGGCATCTGATAGCAACAAAATTGTCGAGCGGTTGACAGCAACAACAATAGAAGTGGTTAAGAGCTACCTACGACTAGCTGCAAGGGATGGTGGCAACTAGCCATATGGATGGAAGTGACATGTGGCCGCCGATAGTAGTGGTGGCGAAAAGAGGCAGCCGACAGCGGTTGTGGTGACAAGAGGCAGCTGGCAACTGCGATGGTGACAAATGGCAACCAATAGCGGGGAGCAGATGGTACAATAGAAAGTAGTAAGTGAAAATAGGAGGCAACATCACTTCATATAAAACAGTGTATTTAGAATTCACCCAAATATATTGAACTACAAATACATTGAAAATGAACTAGAATGATTTCAATAATGTTAGAATTTTATTTGATTGTTCTTTTACCACCAAACATTTGAATTTTTAAAACCCATACAAAAGAAATGCAGTCATCTCCTTTTGTTGTCGACCAAATACCTCATAGCTAGAAAAAAGATTTAGTGCACATATCACAAAATAATAGCAAAATTCCGAGAGGGAGAGAGGCCTTCTCTTTTTCTCTCTCCTCTCCGTTGGGATAGAAGCTTCATCAAAACTCCCATCTAACTAAGACAAAAAAAAGGGAAACAAACTTTTACATGAAGAAATCCAATTACCATTTACATTATCAGCATGCATGGTAAAAATATGTCCTAGCTCTTCTTCATTGCATCTCCAGAAATCTTGCATGCTACCTAACCAGACCCTAATTTTTGAAACTTTTCAAGAACTCCTAAATCAATGCAAGTGTGAAAGCTTCTATGTTGGGAAAACCCTATAAAAAGGCCTTGTCTCAAATGATATACTCCTTAGTTTCTAAACTAAAGGAATCTAGGTACAAATTTCAGTTAAAGTAGCTATAATAAATTTTCTAGATCTACATAGATTTGATATTTATAACTAGCCCTTTCCCCTTTATATTTGTATTGTAATTGGACCAACCTAATAAAAATATGTGATAAATTTCTATCCTTATGAAAAAAATTATTTATAAGAACCATTAAATTTTAACCCTCATGAAACTCAAGTTTGCTTTTCTTTAATCTTTCAAGAAACCACAATTTTCACGTAGATCCTGCATTATCTTATTGTTTACATATGAACTAGACCTTGTCCTAGTGATTCAAAGATCAAATCCCCCAACAATGAGGTCATAGGATACATCCCAGCTCCTTACATTGTTGCTACTTAGAAAAATTCAAGCTTTCATTTGGCTCTTAGAGCAATGGGTTTGTCCTCTTCAATGAATAACTTCACTTGTGTCTGCTTATTAAATATACTTGAAAAATTTTTATGTAAGAAAAACAAAAAAATCCAATTGTTTAAATTAGTTTTTTGCAACATAATTTCTAGATTAGTTGGTATTAGAATAAGCAAGAATTGTTTTCACAGCCCGACATGAGATTTTGAAATTAACGAGAGTGAAAACAGACAGTTGGACAATGAAATTAAATTTTTCTACATTCATTTCTACTTTTATTTTTTAACTCTTAACAATTTTATATTCAAATACTACTTGAAAAAACCACTACAACAAAAATACTTAAATTGATCAAATAAAAAAATACCTTTCAGGTTGCTACCCTTGCATTATATAAACAATATCTCCTCTACTATTAATCTTATACAAAAGCATAAACCTGAAAGAATATTAAAATATCAAAACAAGTTATCTAAGATAACTTAATCGAGAAATCACGCTTCTAAACTACAGTAACCCAAATAAAAGAAAGCAATTTGCATGTTGTTCTTTCATATTTCCCTATAAAAAAAATCTTATAAAAATCTAATATATGTGTCCATGACGTTTGAACAATAGAAATAACTTACCTTTAATATGTATTAAATTTAACTGTGCTCTTCAATATTTATGCTTTAACTTTAATTTTACTTTTGACATTCACATCTATATCAAGAACACAGTCAAATATAACTTAGCACATCTCAGATCGATTAAATATATATATATATATGTATATGATTTTGGGAGAAATAAACTCCAATTTTCTCATAAAACAAATAACAAATATATATATACATCTCAGACTAACACTCATATAATTGCAGGGCAAATCTAATCATCATGAAAAAAGGAAAGAAATAAAAATAGCATAATGGATAATCAAAGGAGATTAAATTCTCCCCTCAAATGTAATGGCAAACCAACAGTTTCCTAAACCACCCTCAATTTGGGTTCAATATGTCATACATCCCAAATTTGCAGCTTAGATCACTAAAGTGATGTCGAGAAAGAGCCTTGGTAAGAATGTCAGCAATCTGATATCGAGTTAGGATATAGTGTAGTTGAACAACTCCTTCATTGACCTTCTTAGAGATGAAGTGCTTGTCAATCTCTATATGTTTGGTTTGATCATAGTATACTCGATTCTTCGAAATATTGATGTCTGATTGACCATCACTGAACATCTTAAAAGTGCTTTAGTTTTCCATGTGAAATTCCACCAGCAGTTTCTTTAGCCACATCCCTTCACAAAATTTTAGTGCCAAGACACGAAACTCAGATTCAACACTGCTTCTTGCCACCAAAGTTTTTTTTTACTTCTCCAAGTAACAAATTTACCCCATACAAATGAACAATAACCCACGACAGATCTTCCATCAGTCGGTTCTCCTACTCAGCTAGCATTAAGGTAGATCTCAATGTCACAGTTATAGTCTTTTTGAATATCAATCCACATCCTATAGTCATCTTTAGGTACCTAATGATTTGAAATACCGCTTCTATATGATTATCATTTGCATCATTCATATGTTGCTCATTATACCCATAAAAAAAAACAATGTCAGGTCATGTAGTGAAAGATAAATAAGTTTCCCCACAAGTGTGTATCTCCCTCTTTCAAATGGAGTGTTATCCTCACCTTTCGATGCTCATCGACTAAGATACATAGTAGTATCTATTGGTTCACATCCTAATATTTTGATCTCCTTCAATAAGTTAGGGATATGTTTTCTCGGAGATAATTACTTCCATTCTCAGGAAGTATCTTCAAGTTCCAAGATCTTTGATCTCAAACTAAAAAGTCATTATTCTTTTGATTCTTTCAAGTTCCCTCACGTCATTGAATATAAGAATAATATCATCTACATGTACATTAAGGATGTTATCATAAATTCTTGATTTGATTTCACAGATAAAGTATGATCACAAAATATTGATAATACCGATTAACAAGAATAGCCTTGGTTAACCTTACAAACCATACTCCGAGAAATTGTTTAGACCCATTGATGCAGGTAGATTTAGTGTGTTAATTTTACAAATATCTTTAAATATTACAAAATACACAAGGCAGTTACAATAGTAAATATGCAAATTAATCCCAACAAAAATAATTTTAATGAAAATAGTTTTATCTTTTAAAACTCTTTAAACTGTCTAATTCCCTAAAAATAACACAAATATACATATCGCTCAAGTAATAAAGAGACTTTTGGGAGAAATAAACTCCAATTTACTAACTAAACAAATAACAAATATATATACATCTCAGACTAACAATCATATAATTGGAGGGCAAATCTAATCATCATGAAAAAAGGAAAGAAATAAAAATAGCATAATGGATAATCAAAGGAGATTAAATTCTCCCCTCAAATGTAATGGCAAATAATAGAGTGAATCCTAAATAAAATACAGTAAAAATACAAAGTTATTTAACTAATTGTTAAACTTTCAAAAGTAAAATTATGAAAACTAAAAAAGGTTTTTGTGATGAAGATTTCAAATTTAAAAAAGTGTCTTTCCCTTTTATAAAAATTGTATGGATTGTGAAGAAATTAAAATCATTTGAATATATATATATATTGTTTTGTGTAAAATATGAGCAATAATATTTTTCACCCTCTTCGGAGTGCATAAAGAACATTGTCTCTAATTTCGTGGTTAGGCTGAGAAGATACGAGCTGCCACATCAGAACTTCCACTACTCTCTTGCCTGAGAGTTAATAGTCTCAAATCAGTTTCCAATCAATTAGACCAAATTAGGAATTTTAATCTGTCGTCTTAAAATCTCCAATTCTACATCCAACAAACTATATTTCACTATTTATTTGCACTCAACTTCATGGATGACATCCTCTCCCATGAAATCAAATGTGATTATTTACCATGATTCTCGTTATGTTGTAGAAATCATATCTCATTTAAGAACATATGTCTCTCAACATATTTTAAAAATTCAATTAGTCAAATCGAAAAGTAAATAAAGATCGGAATTCAAATCATCACAAATTATTGACATTTAAAACTGTAGAAAATAAAATCTATTCTTCATAAAACCATATTGATAAAGAAGGCTACTCAAAATTCATGAGAATGATACAATAAAATACGGATTTCATATATAAAAACAAGTTTACAAAACAAAAGAAATAAAAGACACAACCTATCTCACGATCCTTCCCAAACAAGTCCCTAGAAGTTCTCTTCAAGCATTTCTCTCCTTACAAGCACTCACAATTCCCTCTTAGAAGTGTAATGAAGAACAAATATTTCACTTTCCCTCTCCTCTTACAAGCCTTGAAGAAAATCTCCAAACCCTTGACTCTCTCTCTCTCTTTTCGCCCCCCTTACAAACCACACGCCACACCAACACCTTCAAATTCTTCAAAACCCTCTTTTATTAAAGGTTGCCTCCCTCTGAAAAGAATTCAAAATTATCTCTATAATTTTATCTAAAAGTCAACCCTTTTAAATTCAAAAGACACGCTCATTCATCCAAGAGACATATCACTTCATAAAAGAACCTTCCAAAGTGTCTAGATGCATTAAATCACTCCAATAGGTGTTTAGAACAAGTGTCTCTTTGAAAATTGGCGCAAAATTCGTTCTGAACCACCTCAATCCATTAAAACTCATCTCTGGCGCTTTTGGCGCCAGTTTTGGAGCATCTAGTGCCAGCTTACTTAAGTCTGCGTTGTTCTGGGTTCTAGCGCTTCAAGCGTCAAATATGTCGCATTTGGCGCCAGCTCTTTGTCAAATGACGCCTCTGGCGCCAATTCTGACGCATCTGGCGCCAATTCTGATGCATCTAGCGTCAGCTCTCTGTCCAATGGTGCTTCTGGCGCCAACCTAACGCATCTGGCGTCAGCTCTCTGTAAAATGGTGCTTTCGGCGCCAATCTGGAGTATCTAGCGCCATAATTCTCAAAATTCATTGTTTTGGCTCCAAATTTCATCATTTTTATTATATTATCTCCAAATAGCTAAAATTGATATACCTGCAACAAAAACATGAAAATACTCTTCATCAAAGTGCAATATCAACAAAAATAAACATAAAATATATACTTAAAATAACATATTATTTTAGTGTATCACTCACCGCACCACCTATTATAATGTGGAATCCTGGAACCTACATATTGTCCAAGTTCAAAACAAAAGGTTTGTGAGCCACACCAGCAGATTAATATTGTTGTTATTTACTCCTAAGAATATCTCCATATACATTTCTTCCTCAAGATTTTCATTAAGGAATGCATTTTTAATGTCTGGCTGATGCAATGGCCATCCCTGATTTAAACAGAATGACAGTAATACTTTAACTATGTTGAGTTGCTCCACTGATGCAAAGTCTCCTAGTAGTTGATTCCATAAGACTGAGTAAACCTTTTTGCTATAAGTCTAACCTTGAACCTTTCTATGATTCTACTTTCTATTTAATAGTGAATGTCGATTTGTACCCTACAGTTCTTTTCCTATGTGGCAAAGTTGTTATGATCAAGATACCATTTTTTTCATGGGCAAGAATCTATCCTTACACAGCCAGTTTCCAAGCAGAAATAGAAAATAACTCTTGGATTAAATTTGGAACCTGCATATTGTCCAAGTTCAAAACAAAAGGTTTGTGAGTGGATGATAACTTTCAATATCACAAATTCTTCTATTGGGCTTTTTGTGCATTCTTGTGCTCCTTCCTCTTAGTGTTCATAATCTCTAAATGAATACTTAAGATGTGTGGAATTGATTTTGATGATTTGCATTTCTGATTTTGCATATTGTCCCTTACATGCTTGCTGTATTTTTTTTTGTGTATACACAGAGTCCTTGGCTCTTTGTGGGAGCTCTAAGAGGACTTAGTGGAGTAATAGATTCATTTTCAGGTTGATTTGTGATGGTGGGAACAAGAGTGGGTTCATCACGATTTTAAGGGAGGTTAGTTTGAGGTTCCCGAGTGGTATCCTAAATCTGATATTCTCTTTAACTCTCTCCCTGAATATTAGATTTGGGGTAATAAAGTTAGTTTCAAAGAATGTGGCATTTATAGAGTTGTAAATTTTTTTTATTTCTGGCAAGTAGCATTCACTCCCCTTTTTATTTGAAAAGTATCCCACAAAGATGTATTTAATTAATCTGGGATTAAGTTTGGTATGATTAGGTTGATGTAGATGAATAAAAGCAATCTAACAAAAAATTACTAGTGGTTAGTTGGAGGTGAAGCACTAAATATTGGGTAAGATTTTATAAGATTGGTGAGACGTTTGTTAAAATTTAGCACTCTGTTGGACATCTTACTTATGAGATAGCTTGATATGAGAATTGTAAACCCCATAAGTGTTTGGATACATTATTAGTGAATAAAATTGGTCGGGCCACATTGAAGAGGTGTCTGATCTTTCTCTCAGTCTTACCATTTTGTTGAGGTTTGTAGACACAAGAGATTGTGCGAATGATATAATTTATGGAAAAACAAAAACCGAGAGTGGAGTTGTAAAAGTCTTTTGGATGAAGACCAAATTGTGGAAGGTTTCAAATATGCGAACAGTTTTTTATTTTTTCTACATGAAAAAGGTCCAAGTGGTTATGGTGTAATCAACAATGAAGGTGACAAATCACCTAGCCCCATTTTTATTTTTAATTTTTGAGGGCCCCCAGACATCACTATGAACCATAGACAAGGAATGTGTTGGTTTGTATTTCAAATTTGGGTACAATTGTCAAGTATGTTTAGCAAGTTGACAAGTTTCGTGCTGATAAGAACTAGATTTTTTATAAATAATTAAATGGGGATACAAATTTTCAATATAATTGAAGTTGGAATGGCCAAAACGAAAATGTCATAACATAACTTGACTCTTTAGAAATAGACTCAGATACAAGACTTGACTTAAATGATTATGAACGGTGAGATGATCCTTTTGAAGTGAGAGTCCTAGTGAGAAGATAGAGTCCGTGCTACATATCAACACTACCAATCACCTTCTCTAAGTCTATCAATTGAAATCCAAACAAATTATGGTAAAATTTAGTAGCACAATTCATGTCACGAGTGAGTTTACAGATAGATAGTAAACTTCAGTGAAATTTAGGAATCAAAAGAACATATTGAAGAATAAGATCCTTTGTGAGTTTCACTTACTCTTAATTCCACACTAGTAGGCTGAACTGGTGACAGCTGACCAAGCATCTTCTGGAGGGCATGGATTTGTTCTTCGCTGAATGGGCTTGTTCCTGGAGAGACTTCGGTGGTGCTGGGGGCAGCTGCTCGATGATCCCGTTTGGGTTTCCAATTGGTGGGTTTGCCATGAATCCGCCAACATGTATCCCGAGTATGACCAGAACGACGGCAGTGATCACACCAAGGGCGACCCTGGCGTTGACGGTTGTCCGTGGATGGAATATGAGTAGTAAGTGCAGACCCGTCGAGGCCTGCAGTGGACAAGGAAGTACCTAACATGACCTTTTGGCGACTCTCTTCGCGGCGTATGTCGGAGAAAGCTTCACGAATTGTTGGAAGAGGTTTTGAATTTAAAATCCGTGAGCGAGTCTGGTCAAACTCAGATTTAAGGCCGAGAAGAAATTTGAAGGTGCGTTTCTGTTCAATGATCTGGCGAAATATAACAGAGTCTTCGGGACACTTTCAAGGGTGCACCTCGAATAGATTTAGTTGTTGTCAATACCGAGTAAGAGTATTGAAGTATTGGGTGACCGAGAGATCACCTTGACGAAAGTCCACCTTGACGAAAGTCATGAATAATGGTTTCAACAACAAATAGTTTGCTTGTATTGTCCGCACTAGAATAGGTCTCACGGGCAGCATCCCAGATTTCCTTAGCCGTGCCATAGAGAAGAAAATTTTCGCCAATATTAAGTGTCATTGAGTTAATAAGCCAGGCCATAACCATATTATTCTCGGATTTCCAAGTCTTGTATGATGGATCTGTGATCATTGGCGCTCGAGCATCACCACTGAGATAGTCATCTTTGCCTTTGCCGCATACAAACATCATGACTGACTGCGACCATTGGAGGTAATTCTGACCGGTGAGTTTGTGGCTGGTGATGAGGACAAGCTTACAGTTCAAGGGTTTAGTAAAGTCAATGGAGCAAAAAAATTTGAAGAAACCTTTATGCCCATTATTCACATGGAAGATATAAGAAAGATGTTATCTTTTCATAACTCAAAATTCTTTTAACTTTTTTCAAAAAGATGCCAAGAGTACTTTTATTAGTGGTCTGATTTAAAAGTAGCTATATGTAGAGCAAATGCAAAAAAAAAAAAAAATCATGTGGATCTTCAAATTACAAGCATTCAAATCCCTATTTATAGAAATTGGTGAAATGAAATTTAAACTATATGGTGGCAAGAATACACAACATATATCTAATTATTTTTTCATGAAAGACTTATATATAAAGAGGAAAAAATGCTAGAAATAATAGAAAATAGAAACATTTATCCACTATTATTTGCATCATATTCCTATTCCTAATCTGTGCAACATATAATAGCTTAAAAGATTCCTTAATGTCTTTGGATATCTTCCCAAGAAGTTTTTGCAAGCATGCACTAATTTTCCATTGTATCTTCTAAATTTCTAACCATCTCATTCAAAGTAAGGGTGTCAAATCGGGTTCTACGGTCGGATTCGCGTCTGACCCTAAATTGACCCAACCCAAATCTGCTTGACCTGAACCCGATCTGAATATTGAACGGGTCAGAATGTCCAACCTGCTAACCCAAATTCGACCCATATAACCCATTTAATATAATGGATAAAAACTATTTGGTCCATGAAACTAATATAGGATATGAACTTAAAATATATATACTCTCATTGATAAATTAATGAAATTAGTAGATATTATAGTTCATATGAAAATAAATATCTTATGCGTTCAAGAAACTAAATGTGTTGGAGAAATTCTAAGAAGATTGATAGATTGTGTTTGATTTTTATATTCATAGAGTTGTACTAGAAATGTATAGGTGTAATTATATATAAAAGTTTAAAAGATCATATTATAAAAAGTAATAGAATTGAAGATGTAAGTATAGTTCTAAAGATTGTTATTGATACTAAAATTTTTAATTTTACAAATGTTTATGCTCCCCAAGTAAGTATTAGAATATGTTAAGGTATTATACATAACTTTTTATCTCCCAATAAGACTCAACAAAATGAGATTGTCTGATGAAAGTTATTAGTTCATACTTTTAAGAATAAAGGGAACATAAAAAATTGTGCAAATTATATAAGAATTAAGTTAACGTGCCATACATTATAGTTATGGGAGAGTTATTGAACATATAATACAATGTGATACGAAAAATTCTCAAAATTAATTTGGATTCATACCATTGAAGTTTACGATGGAAGCTATACATTTATTGAAATGTTTGATGAAGTATAAAGAAAGTAAGGAGGATCTGCATATGATTTTATTGATTTAGAAAAAGCTTATGATAAGATTTCAAGGGAAGTACTTTGGAGAGTTCTAGAAAGGAAATGTGTTGATATTTTTATATATTCAAGTCATTAAAAATATGCATGCTAGAGATGTTACTTGTGTTAGAACACAAGGAGGATTGACTAAATATTTTCCTATTTCAATTGGATTACATCAGTAATCAACTTTAAGCCTATATCTTTTTGCTTAAGTTATGGATGTTTTTATTGGGCATTTATAGGAGGACGTACCTCAATCACTTAGTGCATTTTCGCTCATGATATTCTTCTAGTGGATAAGATTAGAGTGTTCATAAAAAACTTGATTTATGGAGATTAACTTTAGAGTTTAGATACTTTCGTTTGAGTAGATCTAAAATTGAATACAGAGATCTAGCGGTGAGGATGTAGCAATTGGTGATCTAGTAATTAAGAGGAGTGGCCGTTTCATTTATCTCGGGTCTATTCTTGAAAATGATGGTGATATAAATGGGGATGTTATTAGTAGAATTCAAATTAGATAATTGATGTGGAGGAATGCATCGCGCTTATTGTGCGATAGAAAAGTAACACTTAAACATAAATAAAAATTTTATAAGATGGCGGAGAAACCTGCAATGCTTTATGGTGCAAATGTTGGCATGTTAAAGAGAAGCATAAAATTAAGTGTAGTGTTGAGATGGATGAGTGACTTTACGTTTAGAGACGAAATGCAAAATGAATATATCCATGAAACGAGTGAAGTAGCTTCACTGGCAAACAAGATTAGTGAGAGGCATCTTAGATGATTTGGTCACATTAAGAGTCGACCATCTGATGACCCTATTAGGAGAGTAGAGACATAAAACATCTTCAACATGATATATAATATTAATTTATTAGAATTAAATGAAAATATAACTTTCAATAGGATACAATGAAGAAAATGGATTCATGCAGCCAACCCCACTTAGTAAGATAAAGGCTTGTGATCGTTGGTGTTGCTCAAATGACATTACAAAACATGGAAGGTAAGAGATTCTGATAATGATTACCTAATAATAATTATGGCAATGGTCGCTATCATTATAATAATTGTAAAGCAAATATCATTTGTTCACTAATCATTTCTTGCTTATTCTAAGGGGTGTCAGCTACATGAATTTCAATTCTCAACTTGCGATGCAGTGGAAAATAAACAAACTAGTTATAGTAATCTTCTTTATAGAAAAAATTTAATAGAAACCTGATAAAAAGTAAGCTGCGCAGATAATGTTGTAGCCTCAGTTTGAAGAGTCTGAACTTTCTTCTCAAGTTCAGAGATATAGCGTGCCTTTCTTTCTTTCGAGCGAGCTGCAGATTGTCGGTTAGCTAAGATCCTGTTTGTACCATTTAAATATTTTGAGATCACTTGGATATTTGAAAAAGAGCAATTGTGATATTATCATCTATAATGTATAAAAGTTCCACCATAGTATAATAGGAAGAGAAAAATTTCAACAAAAGCTCTTATAAGACATGGCAAAGTTATACAAAGAAAGCTAATAGCACAATAATAAAAAATATTACTATGAAGTTCAAATCTTATTTCTTTTATGCTTTGTTTATAATGTTATCTTCACTCCTACCCTTAAGATATGCAAAAGCTTATCTTAAAAATTTCACGGCATGTCTCTTAATTTCAAATTGTGAAAAAAAAAATCATCAGAGTTTTGTTACACTTACTAAAATACATAACCTTTTTTTAGTCATATTGCACAAAATTCAACGTGCACAAAAGGCACCTGTTGCACATTTGACTATACTAAAAATCCTCAACATACTCAATTTATTTTAAGACTACTAAAGATAAGATCAGTAGAAATTTGTTGCCAAATTATAGCCAGATTTGTTTTTGAGAGACAACATAACACAACTAGTCTTTCATATTTTTCCATATGAACATAGGCATAGCCATCAATTTTCTTCTATCAATCATTTGCAGCAACAATAATACATACTAAACAAGACCAACGCATTGCTTTATAGAATGAAACTGAACTTCATCTAATTCTCCGCCTTGTGATTTACAAATATGCAAGAAACATTTCTGCATAAACATACAAGATAATACATATGGATGTGTCCATTAATGGCTATACATAGTTTGTACACTTGTTATTATAGGTATCAAGTTAAACTCATAATCGGCACCAATAACCACTTAATGCCACTATTATACAAGGAAGAGGGGCCTCTGGCTCGGTCCAGCCTAATAGAGAGAGAGGGAACGAGCAAGGAAGAGAGAAGGAGTACAAGTTCATATGGACTCCAAGAAAGCTGCTTGAAAACGGATACCAGAAAGATGTATAAAATTTCGTGGTTCACAGTTGCACGTTTCTAATAATGAATTAATGATGGAAGCTGGTGAAGCAATATATTGGTTAGATTTCATTGCAGATTAGCCTAGATAGTGAGATGTCACATCAGAATTTCTTTTTTTATGATAGAAATCCACCAGAAATTATCCCAAAATGGTACTTACAAATCAAGCGCACTCTTTCATCCATTTGTCAAATTCTCACTCAAATATCAAAACTCATGATAAAACCCCAACCCATATTTTACATTTTAATCAAATTCTCAATGGTTTGATCGCAACAGCCTACACGTATCGGTTTACCCGTTTAAGAAATCAATTGGCTGCAATTTTTTCAAATAGCAACGCTTCGAGTGCTGTATATGCAATTATCCCCCGAAAAAAGCAAATCATCAAGACGAAGCCAACAAGAAGTGAAAGATAAGCAAATGACACCGACGAACCGTCCACCGAGTTGCTGTGCCGATGCTTCGTCTTCAACATCGACGCAGCTCCTCCATTACCCGCATTGTCCGTCCTCAACTCCTGCCCCCCACCCGAACTCTCCGCCACCCGATCTCGCCCCACCCCATCCTCCGACCCCGATCCGCTTCCCTCCAGCTTGCATCCGATCTTCTCAATGTCCATATACGTGGAGAAAAGATCATCCTCCGACCCGATCTCCTCAAAGCTCCCCGTCGCCATAGCTTCCCCGGAATTCAGCCCAAACTCATCCGGAAACCGCAGAATAAACTCGGATCTACTGCGTCTATGCATCGGGCTACCGATCGGAACCATCACGTGGTTCGGCAGCATGGGCTGAGCTTCGGCAGCCATCGCCGGCGACAATGCAAGGGGCAAACCCGGGCGGGACAAAGAAAAGTTCAGGCTAGAGTTGGCGGTCGAGGGGAGGGATGGATCTATGGAATTCGTCTGCATTTCGTAAACTCTCTCTTCGTTTCATGAAGAGGAAGAAGAGAGCGCGGTGGAGGGAAAAAAGGAGAAGAGTGGGAGGTCCCCAACGGGAGCAACAAAATGGTGTCCTTTTATTTCTCCTCAGAACGAGATAGAGGGAGGCAACCAGTGGACGCGGACATTGACGGGCTATATATAGAGAAACGGACCCGACCATTGCGTCTTTAAGCGTTACATTGCTGCGACAAATGCATTTGACTCCCTAACAAATTCAGGTTTAGAAGTTACCAGTTGGGACAAACAGTAGAAAAATTATTGAGTCATGGTTCCGGATGGAGCGGAGGAGAAAAAAATTTGACTCGTCACGTCTTCGTTCGGACCTAACTTATCACATCGTCTTCCGGCCGGACGTAACTTACGTCCAGACTCCACACGAAAAATATTTTATAAAGTGATTTCTTACTTATTCATGCTATTATCGTACTGATAAATGCTTCTAAGATCTTTTAATTTTCACCTTTAATATGAATAACCTATTGAAATATTTTATATTTATGTATCTATTTAGCAAGCATTTATATTATTTTATAAGGTTTTTTAAAATATTTTTTAAGTTTCATAACACTATTATTACTTAGATAAATGATGTATTTAATAATTTATTTGCATATAATACTTATCATACAAAAATGGATGAAAGTCTTAGAACATGTAATGGTTATGTAGAATTACATAATCTCTTTATTAAGAATAAATATATATTATTAAAGATTTAATAACTTTTTAGATTAACTTGAAGGAGCATCTATTTCTTAAAAGTAATCAATAATCTTGTTGTTAACAATAATTCCTAAAAGAAAAAAAAATATGGTAAAAATAATCATTCAAATAAGCTATGATCTCTATGAATTAATTCATAACTAAGGGCCAGTTTGGGGTAGCTTATAAGTGCTGAAAACACCGCCGTACCGTTTAGTTCGCGCGTTTCGCCAGTTTATCCAAAACCGCATTTGTGTTTTTACACTAAACGCAAGCCGCGAATCAAACCCCACGGTCTGCTCACGGGCTGCTTATCTTGAAACGCACAAGCTGCCTCAAACACATCCAAATTTGTTCAGAATAACAAATATTTTAATGACATTTGTAGGCTTAATAGAATTTTAGGTCTTTTTTAGATGTATTTGCTATTATATTCATAGATAATAATCTTTTTAATTCAAAAAATGATACCAATCATGTTAAATATGCAATATTGGAAGCACTAAAAAAGAATTAATTATGAAACAAAAATTCACCAAATATGAACTCTAGCTGAAAAGTCTTGTCTTGCAATATTTGATTAATGGCAAGGACATTAGCACAAATCAAAATAAAAATTTAAGCAATACTTTATTAATGAAAAAGGACCTTAGCATAAATCTAAAATGAATGATAATTATGAAAAACTTTTCATATGTTAGACTTGCTTAATGATCACATTAACACTAACCATTCTCCTAATTAAAAAAAACATCACAAATATGCAATGATGCACTACTAAAGGGATTAGATTATAATTTAAAGCACCATGTTAGAATAGTTGCTTTTGCTCCAAAGTAATAAGAGAGATAATTTAATTACCTACATACCACTAATTTCTTATGAATTTATATGGGTAATACACATACATACATATATGCCACCTTATCTATAAATATATAATTACATTAAACTTAAAAGAGTGGTGCTTTTGATTCCATATGAAAGGTTTGGGGTGGCATAATGTAAAAAAGCAAAGTTTCAATGTTATAAATGTAAATTCTTATCATCCCCAAAAGAAAGGCTACCATGATTTCAGAAATCATAATCATCTTTACATTCTCAAAAGGTCTCCCCTCATAGTAAGCTTGTCTCAAGCATGAACACTATCACACATTCACACTAAGCAAACCACAACCTTCCATCAACTACATCAATAAGTGACACACATGAAACACAGCACCCACCACCAATAAATCTCTTATAAATATCAAAGCAAGAAGCCATTAGATACTGATTCATACTTTTGTCTCAAACAGCTGCGTCATTTCTAACCTTCTCCGAGCCGCAGAGATCGTCGTCACCACAGCTCTCGCTCTCGACAGCAGCCGGAGGAACTGTGGCTGAGCCGGAGCTCACCTGCTGCTCGCTCGGTGTCAAACTCACAAGCCTATTTTGCTTCAGATAGTTCTCCAGAGGAAGGCCGGCCACCTGAAGAAGGCTCATCATGCTCATCTGCGGAGAAGATGATGATGCACCGGCAGTGGCGGCTCGTTGTTCCGCGTCGCGTTGTGGCTGGCAGTTCAAGTCGATATGTCCCTTGGAAATCTCGAGTGTTTCCATGAGATCGGCTTCTCGTTCTTTCACGTTGGAGCTGCTCGTACCTTCGAGTTCTTCCCGGCTGCCCCAAGAAAGCTTCTTGTTCACCTCGGCTTCCTCTCGCTCGGACTGGCGTTTCTTCTTCCTCATCATTAGAGTTTTGAATCGACGCTTTACGGTCATGCAGACATTGCAGGTGCAGGTGGGGCTGTGTTTAGGGCCTTTGCCGCTGGGCGGCTGGATGCAGACGATGCAGGTGCAGCCGGGGCGGTGACGTGGATGCCTCGTGGTGGTCGCCGTCGAGGGAGAAGCTTGGTTGCCGACTTCCCCCAGTACCACGGCGGCGGCCAAGGCATCAAGACCAGCTGATTCTGCCTCTGATGGAGATTGTTTTGAACTTGAAATGCGTGGCCTTTTAAGCTCTGCAGAAATTCATTGGCATGTCAAAAGCTGGACTACTGTTATAAATAGTCTTATTTCACTTGTTATGGCTTCTCACTTTTAATCTATGAAGATTTTACATACATACCACTAAGTCTTATGTATTTACAAATGTAGGACCAAAATTTCAATTTATATATATATATATATATATATATATATATATATATATACATACATGTCACCTTACATATGCATGAAACGGTGTATACATATACAACTCATTAATCTCATTATCACAGTTCAAGCAATTATAGCCAACCCATAAATGAGAATCCGCACTCATAGAGAGGAGTGAGAGTAGTGATATATTTGATCTCATATAAAAGATTTGGGCAGTATAAATGTAAAAAAGTAAAGTTCAGGGTGGTGTACGTAAATGTTCCTTTTTAAAATAGTAGGCTTAATTTGCAAAATGGAAGAATTTGACTGAACTTCAGCCTTCAAGTTCTTTATTAACATTGCTACTTGCTCCAGCTAATTGCTATGGTTAGAAGAATAGCTTCTAAGTTCCTAAAGGAAGACTAACATGCATACCACTCAATTCTTACGTATTTACATATTTAACACATAAACATCATATTTAAATATATGCCACCTTACTTATGCATGAAAAGGTGTATTGCTACTTCTAAAAGTCAAAATAGTGGTATTTTAATGTGATATGAAAAATATATGAGGTATAAATGTAAAAAGTATAGTTTAGGTGTAAGATATGTAAATAACTAGTAATTGGGCCGTATTTAGGTATACGCCCTTGAACTAAATTCTTAACATTGCGCTAATTTCTGCAACTCTTTCCTTTTAACATACAACCCTTGAAGCCAAAAGGCCTGATTATTACTTCTAAACAAAGTTTCCAATAGACTTTGCGCCATAAAATTGATTAGCAATAAGAAGCTTTGTTTCATTCAGCACCCTAAATAATAAAGTAATAACCATGGTGCGGTATAAGTGCAAACGAAAAATTACAAACCTGCATGCTGCCTAAGGAGATCCTGCACCTCACTTGAAGTCAGTTCATCTGGCGCGGAGCATGAAGACCTAAAGAAATGCCATTCAAATCATGTTAGAATTTTAATTACACAGATGATTGCCTCAACAAAAATTACACACTACACACAAATGAAATTTTCCCATAATAATAATCCTTAAATTATTTGCATTTCATTCTTTTAAGCATTCTAGAAGAGGTAGATACTTGAATTAAAGAGGTATTTATATAAATACCGCCCAATTGCTATGTATTTACATATCTAGCATCTAAACTTTATTTTTTATATTTATACGACCCAAATCATTCATTATCATATAATAATACCACTAAAAAAGTGAAATATACCTTTTTATGCATAGTTAAGGTGGCATACACATAAAGATTGAAATTTAGGTGTTGGATATGTAAATACTAGGAATTGGGCGGGATGTATGTAAATCTTCCAAGAATTTTCACTACAAAAGTATAAATCAACTAAAGTAATTATAATAAGTACGAATAAATAAACTTTGTGGCTGAAATACTTGCTTCAAGACCGGAGAAAGGTGTCGAAAGTAGCAAAGTAATATTCGATCAACAGGACAACTAGGAGACATTCTAACAATTGGCTCATGAGAAGAATAAAGCTAGATGTACGCGCATAATCCTATGATGGAATGTTTAATCTTAGGGGCATTTACAAACATGGCACACATTTCTAATGTTATTACACACATACCACACAAATATACAATACCACGTTAACAAATAAGACTATTGTACACACCAAAAATACCAACACAAATCTCAAAGAGAACAAACGACCAAGATGAAAGTGCCACCTTTCAAGGTAAATAATCATCTGACGATTCAAAGGCCGAGCACGAAGTCGCATCTCCAAACCCTGGACAGGTTCACGCTCTAGAGATAGTTTCCCACTAGGTAGAGGCAAGCCTAGCTGAAAGTAAGGCGTAAATCGTCCCAGCAGTGAGTCTCGTCGTATACCCGACATGGCTGTGACAAGATCCGCCTATACAAGATTGGGCGAACCGACCGAAGCAACGAATCAATCAGGCAGGCGAAACACGAGCCGAATGAAAAATGAGCCATGGCTTACTCGACGAAAAATCCGACCAGTTACGTTCGACCGACAAACCCCACGTCCGGTCGAACGAACACCTCAACCGACAAACGCATACTTCAAAGAGCACGGATGCTACTCGGACGGTCCCTCAGTCAATTGATTTCAAGTCAGTCGACCAGTCAATTACAAATAATATTAAAATTCAAATTGTAATACAAATATGACATAAAATTTATATAATCAATTAGAGCCCGTATGACTTTAAAAATGGTTTCCATAACTGTTCCCTCATTTATGTAATTGTACAAAACACGTCTCTATAAGTACGGGGTAAAAAGCCAAATAAAGGGATCTCTCATCGATTCTCCCTAAGGAAATTTCAAACTTATTCTACTCTCTTTCTTTCTCTCTTTCACTCGGCTCTAACTCTTGAGACGTGATTCATAATGAACAAAATAGGATCCAACATCCTAAAAGGTGGTACGGTGAGCGTGGATATGCCACAGACGAGAAGCGGAGCTAACTACGAAGAAGAAATTCCCAAAGAGAGCTAACACACATAGAACCCAACAGAAACACTACACAACCACACATCCAAGCTCAAGTCTAGAGGCTACGAGCCCAGATGACTCTCATGATGGAGCAATACGAGGTCCTCTGGGCAACAATCACCCAAAGGAACGACCAAACACCTCATATGGAGGCAGAATCTTAGGGGGTTTGCCCTTAGAGGCCCCCACCGACAAACCCACCTGTTCTCAACAACCAAATTAGCAACCAGCAGACGGAGGGACAAGGCGAGTCCCAACACATTGACATCGAAGCGTCCGCACATGCAAACAGACAATAGGAAGAGATACCTGTCTAACCGCTTGCGGGAGTGGCATTCACTCAAATCAAAGAAGCGGTAACCCGACCCAAGCTGAGGGTCCCTCGTCTAGACTCTTAAAAGGGGAGGACCGACCCAATGAGTAACGACAGAAACTCTTTAGGTTGAAACCAACCCTTGGAAGGGATGGTTCGTCCATAGTATGAGTAACGACCAACACACCTGAGGAAAGAAAACCTTATCATTTGGAAGACAAACACACCCCTCTACCTAGAGAGCCGTCACGACGAAGAGGTTGGTAGGACCTGGCGGGCTCTCTCCGAGAGATTTTCCACAACATTCCCGTGTATAGAATGTCGCCCAAAGGAATTAATGCCCTGACACCCGCGTAGCCCAACTCCCCAGATCTCCCTCCGTTCAGAGGGGGAAGGATGGGGTGGGAGAAACGTTGTTCGAACGGTTACCTCTCTCACAGAGATCCAGCTCGGGTTTTTCGCTTGGGCCTAAGAATTCCTTCACGCCCTGAAACTTCTCCTTGGAAAGCAGAGTGCGGTTGTTAGCGAATGGAACCCTTGCCCACTCCCGCAGGGTTCTGACTATGTAATGTGATCATAGACGGCCAGAACGAGCAGGAGTGAAACTCGTTGCCACTGGAGGTGTCATATGTTTCTCTCGAAACCACAGGCAATGAGACGCCGAGATACATAACAAACTCCACTCCGCCGGCAGCAACAGCCGAACGGATGCATTGAGCTCCTGAGGCGGTGAGTTTAGCATCCCCCTAGAAGTTCACCCCGCCCGTTTGGGAGAAGGGTCTCTGCTCGGGCAACTAACTCGACACAGAAGAGGTTCAATGCCCGACTCGCAGAAAATCCTCCCCTTCGATACTCAACTTACATAAAAATTTTAAAATGTAGGCTCCAGCCTCAAGACAGCAAAAACCCGCATCAATAGAGGATCTTCTCCACCACCCACTGTTTAAGGAGCCGTCCAACAGCTCTCCATCCTCACGAGTCCGACACTCATGTTGAAAAGGCAAGGATACGGTGAACCTCTCCTCCATTTATATGGGGAAGAAAAGTCCACTGTTTGGGGGGGTGGGGGGACCACAAGACGAAAAGTCGCAGACTCAGCGCATTTATGGAACATCACAATATTTCATTTCCCGAAAAGGAAACAAAACGTCGCCATTAAGCATCCTTTAATGCAGCTAGGGCTGTCAAAACGGCTTGTTGTTCGTGGACAGCTCGTGTTCGGCTCGTTAAGAAGCTCGTGTTTGGCTCGTTAATTTCGTTCGATAAGTTAACGAGCCGAACACGAACTAAGATGTGTTTGTTCGTGTTCGGCTCGTTTTGGCTCGAAATACTACTCATCAAGTATATATATTAAGTGGTATTTTAAAAAATATAATTGACTACAAGGCTACAAAGATTTATAATCAATTAAAATATTGATTAAGAAAATAGAATAAAAATTATTAAATTAGATTCAAATGAT